AATGGTCGACTAGAAAACGCTATTTTCAAAGATGCTGCAATGAATGCCCTTCTCAGAGACTGTTATATCATTCTTTTAAGGATTTCGGCAGCTAAGTTACCACTGAATTCGAGGTTCATGTACAACATTTTATCACTTGCGGACGTTAAGTTATATTTCATGGATTTTGACTCTATGTTCTTGTCTTTAAAACGTGGCGGAAATGCATCTTCTGTTAAGATTTAGCTCTTCCTTCACAGTATCAGGACTACATATGCACCAAATGTAAGTGGCAGGTGATCGAATCAGGTATTGTTTACCATCAGTAGTTACCCAGCTGCAGAAAATTGTCAGTTCAGTATTCCACGACAGCTTCCTATCAACTGATCTCTTCAGTGTTCTGTCAGTTTTCCATGATCAGTTGATATCCAGAAAGTAAATGTTTGAATCGTTGTCCATGTCGAGTGTGAATTACATCGCTGGCTGGTAACCATTAAATGCATTTAATGTATACTATATAAATCATAATCATCATCACAAACAATAAAGCTGTCATCTACATACCTTTTTTATGAATGAAAAATTTGGATTATTGACTTCAATTGATAGTTTTCTACACTGGCCATAAAGCAATCTGCAAAAAGGAGATGCATAGGAGAACGTATTGAAATAACATCCTTTTGTCTGTATATTATTTCATTAGAAGTAAATTGTACACCTTTGACAGTTTGAAAAAAATTGGGCATTGGGTATATGATAGTAATTATTATAAAAAGTTTTGTATTTCCCAATGAATGAAAAATATACCGATATTGTTTTTATTGATATTCCGCTATTTAGCGTTGCTAATGGCTTTATTAAAGTACTGCTAAACCAGAATTTACAAGATCTCAGCTTATATATACAGTAACTGAATCGACGTTCCTCTGCATGAGGTAATTTTTACGTGTTCCTGTCTAGTTGGTCAATTGGTAAAGATAACAAAATCATGTATGGATTGTTGGATTTCAGGAAATAGCCCTTAAGATCGAACCTGCTCTACAACTGATCACCCACGAAGAATTGAAATTTGTGAGTCAAAAGATGTCACACATTTAAATTACACAATGCAGCATACCAAACAAGAATATGAGGCCCTAAGGAATTTGAAAAAGGACAATGGCATTGTTATAATTAAAGTCGACAAGGGAAGCGTTAATGTGACTACGATCAGAACCGATTATGATAAGTAGGCGACTGGACACTAATCCTATGAACTACACGTACTTATTGAAGAGAAAATAAAGAAATCCGTCAAAATCAACAAGATGAAATTGAATACCAACAGACTCCTTCAAGAACCGCAACAGGAATTCGGGAATCATCTTTGATTTAATCAAGAGACGGAATCCTACGTACCCTCAAGATTCTGCGATCAAAGCAAAACACACAAACCTACAGTCCGATTAAGACCAGTAGTAGATTTTATCAACTCACCAACATACAACCTCTTAAAATTCTTATTTTCGACAATGAAACCACTGTAAAAGGACACTGAACATGCTATAAAAGGTTAATTTGATTTCAAACGCAAAATAGAAAATCGCGAAGTTGATTAAGAAGATATTATGGTAAGCTGTGACATGAACTCATTATATACTAGCATTCCCATTACCGATAGCCTTCATATCATTTTCACTTTACTATAATCAGAAACACCTCTGTCAGAAAGGTGTCCACTGGACACCAGTGAGATAAATAAAAGCCTTAAATTCTGTTTGGAGAGTAATTGTTTTGGATTTAATGAGAATTTATGTAGTTAGACAAATGGTGTTGCTATCGGTTCACCTGTTTCTCCAATAATCACTGATCTTTTCATAAATACATTTGAAGATAGCATGGCTGAGATACGTTGATGATACTTTCGTTGTGCTAAAACGACATCTACACAGTTCATTCTTAGAGAAACTGAACAATCAGTACCGCAGCATTCAGTTTACTTTGGGAATAGAATCAGACTTCGGTAAGTTAATTTTTCTAGACTGCCTCGTTAGGGGGAAAGAAAACGGATATTTTAATATATCTGTATTCAAGAAGAAAACCCACTCCAACAAATATTTAGATTTCAGAACATTACATCCAATTAGTGCAAAGGTATCAGTTTTCTCAAGTCTTCTTAGACAGCCACGCTCTTTGATAACGGATGAGAAAGAAAAAGAAATATCAGACATTACTGAGACTCTCAGGCAAAACAACTACCTAAAGAACTTCATCCATAAAATCAACACTCTTACTGAATATAGTCAAAAACCTATTCCGAAGACATGGGCCTCAACAGTTGTCATTCCATATAGATCAGAAACACCAGACGACAACCGAAGAGTACTCAATGAGCACAAGGTGAGAGTTTTCTTCAAAACATCAGACGAACTGCAAAGCAACTTTGTCCGTATAAAAGACCAAATCCCTAAGGATTCGCTATCTAATTATGTCCATAAAATCAAATGCTTGGAATGTGATACGATTTACATCGGATAAACATCGTGAGCAATCAAATCAAAAGAAATGAAGACCATAGCAAATCTCTTCGACTACCAAGAAATCCAGTTGAACTAGAAAAGCTTGAAAAGTCATCGGCCACAGGTGTACACTCTATAGAATCAGGTGACGAAATTGATTTTGACAATATTGTAGTAATCCAGAAGAATTTCAGAAATCTCAAACAACTTCTAATATCAAAAACAATTAATATAAAATGGAATCCAAATTGTTTTATTAAGAATGAATGAATAACACCGAATTTTGACCTCGTTCCAATACTCCACAACCACCCCGTGAATTAACAAAATCAACACAGATGTGATAAGCAATTTTCATTATGCAAAAAGCACACGCCACCCTTTTCAATTTTATACGCTTATCAAAGCCAACAATCTACAGATGGTTTTGTTATCTTTGCTAACTGATCAACTTGACAGCAACATAAAAATGACCTCATACTGAGGTACGATGATTCCGATACTGGATATGTGAGCTGAGATTTGGTAATTTCTGGTTTTAGAGAATCAAAAGACCGTTGCGGAGAGGAAAATTTTCTTTCCGACGAAATCATCAACTAGGCTGTACATTCGTGTATTTATTATAAGTGGGTGGGAAAGTTGCAGAATGATTTCTAGTCAAGGGTCAGATTAATAAAATTACAATTAGGAATTAAAATGCAGCGAGGAAGTGATTGATGAAGAACTGTGTAAACTCCGAGGAACTCTGATGGAAAGCGGTTTTCCACCTAGGTTCATAGACAAGAATCTCAAATCTTAGAAGACTTTGGAACAAGTTCAATCCATCCCAAAGAAGATACTTGTGCTTAATCTAGAATTCAAAGGTGATATTGAAGCAGAAATCCTTCACAAACGCCCCTCCAAATCGCTGAGGAAAACATACTTCGCCGCGAGCCTACGACTGACGTTTACCTGTAAGAAAATGTTCAGCCAGAACGCGAAAGACAAGCCGTCACATTGGATCACTTCAACGTGCATGTACCAGTTTACTTGCTCCTACGGAGCTGAGTACATCGGTCGTACCATGCGCCAACTTGAAAAACGCGCTAGTGAACACTATCCAGCCTGGCTAGTAAAAGGAGACCAAAAGCATGTATATAGTTCAGTGACAGAACATCTGGTCAAATCAGGACACTCAGCACCTTTCGAAAAATCCTTCAAAATAATATACAAGATTCAATCAAGCCTATCAAAGGGAGTGAAATTAAGACATCTGGGCATAGCCGAGGCACTAGCTATCCAAAAGCTCAAACCCACGCTTTGTATCCAAAAGAAATACGTCCAACCCCTGTCCCTGCCATGGCCATCATAAACAGGTAATTTGTTTTATTAATGACCATCCCATCGCCTTTCTTTTCTAAACTTCCTGTTTATTCATGTTACTTTTAAGTTTTTCTTAATCCCTGTTTACACTACCACATTTTCATATCCGAACTTCCTGTCTATTTTGTTATCTCTACATCTCATCCTTAATTGCACAATATGTCAATCTTCTTAGTAATTATGATGCTACTCTGTTTGAGTTTTATCCGTCCCCCTGTTTATAATGGCATTCTAATTCCTAGTTGTAATTTTAACTGATTTGACCCTTGACCGGAAATTATTCTGGAACTTTCCCAACCATTTGATATAGATATACACGAATGTACATCCTAGTTGATGACTTCGTCGAAAAGAAAATTTTCTTCGCTGCAACTGTCTTTTTATTTTTTATGATCGAATTCTGATTTAATATAGCTACTTAGTAGATAAAGCTATTACCAGCAGGACTAAATAGCGAAACTCTGGTTAAGAAAACAGTATCCTTTTGTTTTTTGTTCATTGAGAAATACAGAAGCTTTTATAATAATATCTATTGTACACGTTTGTTTCACTTTCCTCACGGATATAATACCTTAAAAACAAAATATATATAAATTTATATACACCTTCATTAATTAGGTTTAAATATTGACTTTATTTCAGCCCTTGTTGTATATGGACTGCATAATTCACTATGTCATACTGTAAGTATCACTTCACTGGGTATAACAGGTCAGGTGAACTATCGCTTTGACCATTACTGTTTATATATGCTTACATCCGTTTGTTTTTATTATTACTATTGTTACTAGTAATAGTATTATTGATATTAATTCTGTTACTATTCTGTGCATTTGTCTGTCTGATGAATTATTCTACTGTGCTGTGAAGCCTATTGTTTGTGAGAATTATAAATATAACTTGTCATACTACTAATAATATGAAATGACCTGATATACAATCTTGTTATGTTTATTAAGTTACACAATTTATAAATATAAGCATTAATAGACATAATTCTTTATGAATTTTACATTTTGTAAGGGTTATAATCATTCCCCTGAATGCTGGTTGATTACATAACATTGGAAAACAGTGAAAAATTTATGCATATCATCTGTATTTTTCTTGTCTCACTTAGTGATTTATGATAAGAATGATAAAGTTTTTTTTTGTTTTCAGGGTTGCGAAATCATTCCAAATATGTGGATGACAATAAACGGATCACTCTCTAAAACTGTGGAATTAATGTGTGCTGATCAACTTTACAATAATCCCATCCAGAGATTTTTAGAAGAAAATCACTGCTTTCTTATAAAATCTGCAGGAAGGTTAACCCTGTCATTATTTCGGAAACTACTGACCAATGGTATAAACTAAGAGTGAGATACGAGAGGCCTAAGTAAATAGACTAAAGCGCAGCAGCAAACTTATCAGTTTATTATTATTATTATTGTCCAATTAGTTTCCAAGTGCAACACAGGACTTCAAGAGAACAACCCTATTTCATTCTGTTCTATTCAGTTCATTCTACCTGGCCCCGCGATTGCTCATAAGCTTTTGCCATCTCCTCACAAAGGTCTGTTGCATGTCAAGCTCGAACTCACGTCCTAGTTGTTGTTTCCCATTCGTTTATTTCTTGAGCTATGGCCTCGCACGTGATGTCTCCCGACAGTCTCCTCAGCATGCATCCAATAATTTTCTATTTTCTTTCATATATTTGTTGAGTAGTAGGTTGTTGATTAGTTCGTTTTTAGAGTTATCTGCCATTAATCCTTTCTTCAGTATGGAACCAGTGAAGGCAGGTGTTAATGTAAGGTTTTTCGTGAAACATGCGCCAAGTTTTGTGATCCACATAGAAGAGCTGACTAACTTAACATCGGTGTTGAAAATCCGAATTTTGTCGTTTATGCTTCAGTGGAATGCCGAGGATTTCGAAAATGATTACAGAGTGATGAAGGTCTATCTTTCCCTTGCAACCTCCTCTAGTTTTGACATCCTCAACCGTAGTGTCACCTGCAGTTGAAAAGACGCTGCTTAGATAAGTAAAGGAAGTAACCTTTTTCATTTTTTCCGCTGATAAGGATTGGTATTTGTTGTCGTGGTTGGTTATCTTCATCACTTCCGTTTTCTCTATTTCCTCTGTATCCATGATGTAGCATACTATTTTGCAAATTTAAGAAATGGAGGTCGGGATGAATTACTGATTTCTGTTTGTTATGTATTCATTTTTATGCTGTGGTCTAATGCAGATATTTGTTCGCATGTATATTTACTGGGAAGCAGAATAGCTTTTTGTTATAACAAAGCTGCTTGAATTGATCTTGTCTCTTCTCAAAAGAATGAAATACTACAATTCTTGATGCTTTTTTCAAATATTTATATTTAGCAGGTATCATTTGCGATTGGAATTCAACCCTGTGGTTGTAGTGTTGCCTGTTCACCACTCAGTCTGAATGTTCAGCCTTCTTATTGACCAAAGGACGTGTGTACTGCAAGCCAGTAGTTCGCTGTGTCCTCCTTTATGGCTATGAGATATTGCCATTAGAAGTCGAAGATATGAAACATCAAGCTAGCTGTTTTTGAGCATAGGTGTATGCTGTCTTTCTCTCAGGTTAGATTGTATAACAGAATAATCAATATTGAGGTTAGGCGTCCAGTGTTATGTAAGGGGGAAAAATCGAGATGGTATGTGTCAAAACAGGAAGTGATCCTAGATTCTGGAAGGAAGAACTAATTTCTGCTTAAAAGCTTTTATTTCTGAATGACTTGCTAAAAATCTTAGCTAATAGGTAAAAAAGACTGATATAAACTATGCTGTATTTGAAGTTAAGGAATAACTTTTGATTATAATTCTTGTTTAAATTAATAGGTCAGATTTACAGATCATTGAAAATATTGAATAACGCGTGCTATGCCTATAGTAAATTTATGATGTGTTAATTTGCAGGGATATGATTGGCTACAGGTTTGATCACGGGTTGACATCAGTTACAGAACTGATGGAAAACCAACAAAGGAGCACTGGACAGTTGATTTATCCTATTCTGAGACTCTTCAGAAAAATGAACCCTTTGAACTTTAAACCCCCGACATTCGGGTTACAAGATGAGCTCGAAGACCATTCACTTTCCAATGGCCAACCCAAGAGTTAAAAATTTTACCAATTCGCGGTATATATATATATATATGGCGCAACTGCCTGCTAATGTTATGGAGAAATAACTGGTCGTTTTTCTGACATTAGTGGACCCCACTGGTTACAACCTCTCACTAGGTAGGTCCCCAGTAGGTACGTGCTGATGAGGATTCCCAGAGTGGGACAAAACGGTTGTCCATTACTCCTTACAGGTCTTAGAGTGGTTCTCTAACTAATTCCACCTCGTTATCAAACCTACACTAAATTTCTTTAGAGTTATGAGTGTTTCCTATTCGGTTGGCTAACATATGTATATATAAATTGCTAGCCTCATGATCAACCTTCCCTGATAACCAATCTTATTACTGGTTTGGCGAGATTTAGGAATGCGTCGGTGGCCGGGAATCGAACCCCGAAGCACATTTGGTGTGGTTGGCGACCATTCTACCGCTATGCCACTGACGCACACAACTGGAAGGCAGGAAGCTTCAATCTGAAAGCCTTTAATTTTAGACGGAGCAATTTTTATTAAAGGGATAGAAGAATGAAAGAAAAATATGGCGATTTGAAATACTCTTCTATTTTGCATAATAAAAAATGCCTTGTTTTCTTTTAGCAAACCATTCAATGCCCAATAAGTGTACACAGTTATTTATTTGATTTCCATATATTTTTACACTTAATTGATTATATTACAAAATAATTCGGTTCTAGATAAATCTACACTCAACAGTAGTGTTGTCTAAGTGCATTGTTATGCATATTTTATTGGCTTAATTGCTGTTTCGTTTATCCGATAAACTAGACTACATTGACATATAAGTGTCAGCATTACAAAGGTTATCTAGTCTGATTGTTTATATTTTTGACAGAATGATCAACCGAATAGCGTTATCGTTATTATTACTGCCATATTTTCTCAGTTATTTATCAAGTGCTCCTGCTAATTTATTGAATTTTACAACTACTAGTTCAACAACAAGTACACCGGCGACTACTTTTGCTGTCACAACTGAACCCCCGACTGATGCACACAGACCAAGTGTTCCTGTCAATACAAACTCAAATACAGATACCACTGATTCAGTTCTGTTTACTTCAACAACAACAACACCGTCACCATTGGCAACAACGGTAACAACAAAGACGAAATCAACAACTGAGAGTCGTTTGAACAGTGCGTATACTTCCCATACAAATAAAAATGTTAGTGATATACACGAATTACCTAAAAATGGATCGGCACAACCACATACTGTTAAAGGACGTGTAGTGTTAGCTACAACTCGTGAACAAGGCAGCAATGTATGGGGTTTAACTGAAGATAAAGCTGAAGAAGCATGTCATCGTTTTGCGAATAACAGTGATATTACTCGTACTATATCAAAGCCTAATGAAAGCAACAATACATCCACTGAGTCGACCAATGTATACCAAGGTCATTTGTTGTCTGTTACATCGAATGAAGAGGTAAATTTTTTTTTCTAATCATTTTCAGTAAATTTTGTTGTGAATTTTATGCTTTTTATAACTTATGGAAAATTCCCATTATAACATATAGAAAATCAAAACAAGTAATTCAGCGAAGAGACTCTTTTCAACGAATTCATCATCAAGCTGTACAGTCGTATATATATGGTTTTCAAGAAGTTATATCCGGTGAGGGAAGTGAATCTTAGGTGTGAATGCATAAAACAATAATATGAAATGCAAATAAAACTAAAATATTTGTGATTATAATCGTAGTTAAATGTCAAGTGGCAAATCATATCAATGTCATACATAGAGTAGGTGTGAATGCATAAAATAATAATAATAATAATAGTATTAAATGCAGTTAAAAAACTAAAATGTTTGTGATTATACTCATAGTTAAATGTCAATTGGCAAAGCAAATTAATGTTATATATAGAACAATTCATAGGAGGGATAGAACTTGAAAAAAGGTGTGCAATTGTAGGATTAGTAGACAAATCGAATAAAACAAAAACGTTACGTAATATTGTGTGAAATTTAATAGCATGTTGTTGTTATTATTTTATGCATTCACACCTAAGATTCAATTCCCTCACTGAATATAACTTCTTAAAAACCATATATATACGACTGCACAGCTTGATGATAAATTCGTTGAAAAAGGTCTCTTCGCTGAATTACTTGTTTTGATTTTCCATAATTTTATGCTTGTTTTATGCTTCGTGCTTTGACGGCACAGAGGTAGAATGTTCGCCAATCACACCATATGTGGTCCGGGGTTCGATCCCTGGCCACCGAAGCATTCCTAAATCTCGCTAAACCAGTAACAAGATTGGTTATGAGGGAAGGTTAATTATGACGCTAGCAACCCTATCCCATAAAAATAAATACCACTACTACCCAGACTCCAAAGCTGTATCCTGAAGCCCAAAGTTCCACTGGGAACGTAAAGGAATAAAAAAAAATTTAATGCTTTAAGGTATAGAATGATTAACAGGTCATCAAATGAATAAACATTTCTTTTCTTTGTTCATACTCAAACTCATTGTGTTAAAACAGTAACAACATTAAAGTGCATTGACTGGGTTTGAACTTGAGTGATTTTGTTAATCTCAGGGCGTGTATAGGGAAACAAAATAACATACGGAATTACGCAAGAGTTTTAAGTAGTTAGAAAAATAAGCATACAAACAAAAGTTAAGTGAAATCAACATAGTTCTTACCATGATAGTAGAAGTGGTTGAATAATTTTCATTTGTGTGCATAGTTCTGGTTCTTCCAACTGAATGGCTAGGGCTTCTGCAATGCAAAGAAGACAGAAACGTATTGTCTTTGGAAGGTTGTCCTTCACTTTGTAGATTACTTTCAAGGAGGCAAAGACAATACCTTTCCATCTCCTTTGCATTTCAGAAGCCCTAGTCATTCAGTTGGAAGGACCAGAAGTATGCATACAAAAGGAAATTATTCAACCACTACTACTATCATGGTAACAACTCCGTTGATTTAACTTTTGTTTGTATGCTTATTTTTTCCTAACTACTTAAAACTCTTAAGTAAAATTCCGTATGTTATTTTGTTTCCATGTACACCCTGAGCACAACTCTTTCATCAAACTATTCACGTCATTACGTAACTCTTCTTTAACAATCAGTTGTGGCAACTCATCACTTTTGTTACTACCCCCTTATATCAACATCCAATTCATCTGAATTTACTAATTGTATGTTTTTGTTAATCTGACCATAAAATCAAATTCTAATTTATCTAAGGGTATGATAGAAAATTTATGCTAGAATTTGTATAAGGTTATTGAAAATAGCATTGAGTTCATGACTGAATCTCTTCACCATAAAGAATACTCATATTTTTTTAATGTTCAGACTTCAGACCGCAAAACTGTATTATCTGTTGAGTGATCTTCAGGAGTTAGTTTGTGGGAATTTGATTTATTTCAAGTTTGACTACAGTTCGATATCAATTAGAGAAGCATTGGTAACTAACAGGGAAGTGCTGGACGATTGTTTCGTCCCAGTCTTGGACCCAACGACAGCACGTACCCGCCCACGACCTTCCAGTTACAAGGCGAGCTTACAGACCATTCAGCCCCTGGGATGAAGTCGAATGATCCATGAATTCTAACTTCAACCAATTCGTGATTTTACAGTGATTGGTACCAGTCAACAGTGTTATCGGTGGCGAGTATTTGTCCTCACTCCTGACTCGATAGACCCCAGTAGTCACAACTTCTCACCAGTAAGATTTCAAGTCATCTTCGTTCTGTAGCCAGACCTTAGTAACTATTAAGTAGTGTCAGTGTTAAAATGAAGGTGTTTATCATAAGGAGAATAAAAAAGATACTAAGTTTGTTTACTAAGCACTTAATGTGTGCAATTTAACATTAGAGGCAAATAAAAGATGTTGACAAGATTTTGACCTTTTAACTTTTTAAGTTAGTACACAAACAAACAAACAGCATTTCAACCTTTAATTAATCAGTGCTGTGTATAACTTCTACATATTTAGTAAAACCGTTGTCTATCAAGCACTTCTTCTTGGATCCTAAGTTATCTGAGCTTCTATGTTATTTATTTTTAACTCAATTATGATTTTTCCTGTTGATTGGTTGGGCAGAAATCAACAGGAGCCTTAGTGGGAACACTCGCACTGACTGGGGAGGGGAGGTACATCCAGTTGAATAGTCTTATAGAGAAGGAAATGCTCCTCCTGGATCCTAATGCTAGTCACTATCGACTAAATTACTTTAAGCTTCTTCATGTTCAATGTTTATTAGTCTAAAATGGAACCCGTAATGAGTTTGTCTGGTTTTCGGATAATTTTAATCACATTAAGATATATTTCATCGTTTAATGACACTGAAGTGTACAGAGACGGCATACACCACAGATTGGGGAGTGATGGACGATAATTAGGGGAACTGTTTCTTAAGTGGGGAGCAATATATGTGGTCTCAGATGGTGACGTACTAAATAACAAAGAAGAGAAATAATGCGAAATGGGGGGGGGGAGAATTCGAGTTATCTGTGACGATAAATACAAGGTTACCAAGTACAGAAGTGCAGGAGAACGCTGTTTATGATCATTGTGAGACAATTGATGCGGTTACAGAAATGAATTTTTGTCTGGAGTTAGAGACAAGTTTGGGCTAGACTACTTTAATGATCTCATTGATTGTAAACCACCCTTACTTTGTTTTCATCATGGTAATCGTTGCTCATACTACCCTTAGGAATTTTGGTCACATCATTGTTCACCGTCTCTCTGGTGTTACAATAAACAGATAGGATATTTTTTTTACCATCATGTAGTGAAAAGCTAAGACGATAATTGGACAACTGTCACCTTTAATGTTCCTTGTTTCATTGGTCGTTACCTAGGCGGTTCATTTGTGATGAAATTTACTTTACTGGCGATAAACTATCACATTTTTATGCTATGCTTTAAAATTTAATGCAAATTATTTTTGTTTAAATGTGAATTTGTAATAAATTTTCGCAGTTATAATTCATGATTAGTAGTTAATGATAAAGTTTTGGCTAGCAAAAATTATTAAAATGCTTGAGTAAGTGATATATTTCCGTCAGCGTGACTTGAAGGTATTTATATTTGATGTAGTCACCCTTATAATTGCTTTCAGTTTAAAGTTTCAAATATGTAGAACTACTTCATTGACTCTGTTTCCTTGTGATTCCTAAACATGTTTCTATTTGTATTGAAACTGTTTTCATATTCCAAATATAGTCATAGTTATGAATGCAAAAACAGAATTTCTATTGTGACATGTCGGTGGCACAGTGGTAGAATGCTCGCCAGCCACGCCACATGTGGTTCGGAGTTCGATCAGCGGCCGACACACTCCCTCACCTCGCTAAGACCAGTACAGAGGGGAAGTCAGACGTGAGTTTAACAACCCAACCCCGTAAAAATAAGCATCATTGCTACTGAAACTTAAAAGCTCTAGCTTGAAGCCCTATGTTCCACTGAGAACGTAAAGGTATAAAAAATATTGCGATTAGTTTGTTCAACTGGAATGAATATAACGATTCAATGTTTTATTTGAGGTTGCAGAACTGCCTTTCTCACAAGTGTCGATAGCCACAAAACCTAAGTCCATGAATTCCTACAACAGCACATCTCCATGTCATTCTATTCTCTGCAGTCCTCTTTAGCTAGCCTCATAACTGCCCATAAGCTTTCATCTCCTCCTGACGTGATCTCTTCCAAGCCGCCCTTACATATAAACACTTGCCCAAGTTGTTGTTTCCCATTCGGAGTGTACCCAACGGCCTGGGAGTGTGATATCACTTAACGGTCTCCTCAGTGTGGGTGCCAAATCCATCTCCATTTCTTTCGACAATAGTCTCTCAACTGATTCGTTGCACTGCAGAGTTCTTTTTTGCTCACCCTCTTCAACTGGTCATCTTATCTTCAGCATAGAGTCAGCGAAAGCCACTGTTGATAAAAGTCTGCAGGAGCCTGTTGGAAAATAATTTAATGACACTTCAAGTCTTTGAGCCATAATGAAGAAATGACTTGTTATTAGTGTTGTTTATGCTTACTGTGGTATATTTCCATAATGATTTCGGTTTGTCCTGCCTTCACGATCCCGGCCTTGACATTTTCATCAGTGTCGTCTGCTTTTATTTAGAACGATTCTGCTTAGACAAGTGAAAGTGGAGGTTCCCTTCAAATTCCCCCCGTCGTTAGTACCTGGTGTTTGTTGTTGTTGTCGGTTAGTGGGTATCGTCATCACTTCCATCTCCTCTATGTTCACATGAAGTCCTGTCTTCTCTGGCTGCTTCTTCTTCTTCTTGCAACTTGTTGGTTTTCGCCTGTAGATCTTCGAGTTTTGTTTTTATGAAATAACGATTAAAACTGCATGAATAATGGAAGTAATCCAGTTAAGCATATATATTTCATTTTATCTAGAACATTGATTTTCAAATGCTACTTAACGAGCTAAACGGCAATTCCCC